TATTTATTGGAAATATCTATGTGCAGACTGACCTCGTTCCGAATCCGTGCAGCAATTTTCTGCCCTTACCCAAACCGTTATGGGTTTTCACATAAAATCCCAAACCCGTTTTATTAAAGTAGTTAATACCCTTTGGGTGCTCGCAACCAGCCATATAACTCTTTTAGTGAACAAATTATCTAAAATTAGAACATAATAGATCGGCTTAAGTTTACAAACCCCAACCATTTCACTAAGGAGAATGAGCGGATGACGGTCCGTTACTATCGTTGTCAGTAATGTAGCCACTACTACAGCCACAATGCACTTTGTAGAGCACCGGATGACTTACTCATCAGGTTTCAAAAATCAATTTTTTCTTCTTATGTTTCTTTTATATAAAAGGCAAGTCATGTCGAGGGAAAAAAATTGAAGGAAAACGAGAAGAGGACGCTGCCGTTAATTCGAAAATATGACGTACCGATTTTAACCACAAGATTATTCCACGGAAACCTGATGACTTGTTTATCCGGTTGCAAAGAAAAATGGGGCTGTGCGGCTATGACCTTTATAAAAACGAATATTACTATAAATGCATTATACTTTTATAAAATTATGATCTCTATACATATTGCATTATACACAAATTTGCGCTTTCAAATCTGGTTCCCCATTTTGTTCCTAAATATTATTTAAATGAAACAAACTTTCACACCAACATCAATTTAATTAAAAGGGGCAAAGCCTGAGTGTTACGCTGTTACTTTCCTAAAAAAATTATTGAGTCTGATCTCTTATTAAAAAATCAAGTATGTAGAATTATGTGTGGTATTAGTTATAACGTGCCGAAGGCAATATTTCATAACTAGTTCACATAAAAACACAAATAAAGACGATATTTTGACCGAATATTTGGATGAAGACAAAAAAAAAATTCTGTTGTTATTTGATAAGAAAAGGAAAAAGACAGGACGAAGAGAATAGTAGAAAAGGAAAATAAACCTTAAAGGAAAGTGACAACTATAACAGAGAGGGGCGAGGAGAGAGAAACGTGGTTATTGTCATTAATATTAAATTATTACTTATTTGAGTATTGAGCATGAAGATATTTTAGCCACTTCAAATACAAAGGTCTGGTTTATAGGAATAAGTGGTTTCATGATCAGTTTAGGTAGAATCTAGAACTTGGACCCTAATCTGTCGGAATCGGTCCCTCAGTTTTTTTAATTTGAAACCTACATTGTATACCATAGAACCTTAAACCTATCCTGTTAATCGATTCCAAGGTCTACTCGGGAACCAGCCAATTTCTTTTTCTTTTTTGTTGCATTTTTTTCTTCCTTTTTTGTTTCATTTTTAGTTAACCAAAATAAAAGTGACGCAACCACAAAAATTTTCATTTGTCAATAGAAACGATCCATAAAAAATGGACACATAAAAAAAATGTACAATAGAAAGTTCAAAACACGTAACATAAAACCTAAATTATAGAACTTCAGTCCTCAATCATCCATGAAAAATTGCTCCAAATTATAACCACTTGAAATCAAAAGAAATGGCAAACAAAGTTAATCACTTGCTAATAATTTTAAATTAAAATAACTATTAATTAAACTAAATATAATTTTTAGAAAATTTCATCACATATATTCATTCAACTTCAATTCGTAAACTCTATTGACCAATGATAATCTCCCCAGTAAGACAGTCCATATCTAAAAAAGAAGAAGAGATTAAATAAAACATTTACCCATTAAATATACAAACGAATTACAATATGAAAAGATGTATACATCACTTACAATATATAATCTCCGGTTCATTGGTTCCTGATTCGATTCATCTGTTCTCGGTTCGATTCTTACCCAAGAACCAGGAACCAAATTGCACAATACAAATTCCGCCTTTTTAAGAACCGGTAACTACGGGAACCTGGAACCGGACCGATTCTTATGGCTGGTTTGGTCTGGTTCCCGGTTTTACCTTAGACCCATGCTCTCCATCCAAAATGAGGATGGAAATAGCCCCACCCTTTACAAAATTATATCTTTAGTTTTGTAATAGAGTAAATTTAATTTGGTAAATGATTTATCATATTTGGGTTTTAAATATAACTATCAGGTTAATCTTAAAACCATCTCAAATCCTAGAGTTTTTTTTTTGGTCGAAATCCTAGAGTTCGAATATGCATACTTACTAATTAAATAGCCTAAGAAATATCAAGGAAGCAAGAGCATGTCGTAATCAATACATATTAGGTTCGGATATCAGATTTCCCAATTATAAATCGCCAAATACGTCCCAAACTATATAGGACTTTTAGCATTTGAATAAATGTATCCTAATTCTCCAATAAAGACGTGTTTACTATGGCTATGTATAAAGATAGCGGTAAGTGGGTAGTTGTAGGTGTAATACAAGGATAATTTTAGGCTCCGTTCTTTTCACGGAAAATAACTTTAAACATTTTCTGGATTTTCCGGCGTTCGGTTCACAGAAAATAAATTAGTCAAGGAAAACATTTTCCGTCAATGGAAAAAACACATTCAAAAGTGGGGAAATTATTTTCTACTTTTCCATCCTCTTTCTTTCAGCTCTAGTTCAACCACTTTCTTTCGCCAAACACCTTTATCTTTTATTCTTATTTTTTCTTTTATTTATTTTTTATTTTTTTAAGAAATCGAGTTTTAATTATATTTATATTTATATTTATTATATTTATTTTTTTCCCTTTTTTATTTTTATTTTTTCTTCTTCCTCAGCTGGTCGCCCTTAGCCGGGCACTGGAAAATAAAGAAAAGAAAAAGGAAATAATTAAACCATACGACGGAAAACATTTTCTAATTTATTTGTAGGTTTCAATCGAACACCGGAAAATATTGTCATTTTCCTAGAGAATGGCCACTTGAAATTTTGTTTAAGAAACATCAAATTTTTAGCGAAGTGAACGGAGCCTTATAAATAAAAAATTCTCACAAGTCATGTATGTATGTATATAAATGAGGGAGTAATGCTACATGTATTAAAGTTTTACTCAGATACCTTACTAAATGATGTGGCATATGTCATGTCATCAGTACTGTGTAGATCAACCTATTCTAATGCGATGAAAATAAAAACGGAGAAAAGCCATAAATTGAGCAAGATCAAGGCTTTCCTATTCAATGATAATTATCACTACTAGTTTAAGCATTGCAATGTTTATCCAACATCTCCGACTGTCAATCCTAGTAGGTTTTAAGGTTACGTCGAAGATATCCTTATCCCTAATTTGGAGCTCCTGATCCCAGATTTAGTCGACCTGATACTCGAAAAGAATATGAAGCTATTTGAGATGACTGACTCCAGAGGCGGTAATATATTCCATTTAGCAGCTTACATGAATGCGGCCCAAGTATTCAAATACTTAGGATTAGAAACTGTATATTTGGTCCAACAACGGGATAGGAACAGGGATCTTCCCATTCATATTGCGAGCAAGATGGGTTATGTTGAACTAATCGAGAAGCTACTTCGGGTATCATGTTTGCTAAATGGGCAAGGGCAAACCGTTCTTCATGTCGCAGCAAAATATGGGAGAACTTCAGCAGTGAGATATATGCTCAATCATAACGATTTGGGGATGGCGTCAAATGATGCAGATCATGCTGGAAATACACCTTCACACTTGGCAGCGATGTATTCACAACCCGCCGCTTTGATTCCTCTTGTGATGGATGAAAGAATTATTCCCGGCCATATCAACCACAAATGTCTGACTCCTTTTGACATTGCTCGAGATCGCTTCAGAAGGGATCCTACGTTACGGAATGTAGGTAAACATGAATAGTCACTGTTTTATTTATCAATTTACTAGAAATTTCCATAGACTAATACTTTTATTAAGCGCAGATCTCATATTCAAATCTTTATGTCTCCCGGTCGATAGCATTGTTGAAGCATCGATCAATTTACTGGAATAGCCGAGACTCCTCTAGGATTAATTTAGTCTTGGTAGGAGGAAGTTAAAGGTTGTGGATGTCCGCAGGTAGAAACAAGTAAAATATCTCCCACAAATGCAACACAAACCCTGGCTTCTATAAGAACGGTCATGTATAGAAGCCGGGGGTTGCGTTGCATTCTTATTTTTTATTTTTTTCAAACAACCAGGGGTCAATGTGGCAAATTTTGACCACTCTACATATGGCATAATCTCATAACATTATAAATGTCAACCTATGACAACGACAAACCATATACATTTAATTCACGCCTCTTCTTTCATCTAAAAAGAACTTGTACTCTTGCGTTACTACTTTAAAAATAGCTGCATCTTTAGAAGTAAAAGTTTCTCTTTAAATGATTACTTCGTGAATAATCATTTTTTCTAATTGAAAAAATTAAACACATTAAAAGGATAATTATATTCTAATTTGGTTTAAACATCTTATGTGAATAATCCTTGTGTAACGTTTTTTTTTGTCCATCATTCAAACGTACCGGATTGAAAGACAAATCAGAAAATTTCGTTAACTTGAATTAATGAAATGATAACATTAAACATTTTCATATAACCTAGGAACTAAACCAAACATGTATCCAAAAGTTCAGCATTCAAATTGAACATTAAAAGTTCAAGAATCATATTACACGTTTGGTTAAAGTTTAGGGATCACATTGAACGAATTAAGAATTTAGGGATGACATTGCTTATTGAGTCAAAGTTCAAGGAACGTTTATGTTATTTTTCTTTTTTATTTTTGATGTGATTGAAGAGGAGACAGATTGTGCCACCTGACAAGAGACTAGCCAATAAAAAGGTAAACTTTCGAAATTTTAATGCAAAATTGTGATGGAAATGCATATATGCAAGTCATGTGATTTGTCGGTTAACTATTTTGATTGTGTGATAGATACGTAACATAATTTTTTGGGATTGGGGCCCCAAGATCCAAACAAACTAGTCTTTCAGTACACACTCTTGATCTTTTGACGAAGCCATGTGGCATTCTAGCATGCGCAAATTAAATTGCAGAATTTTGTCCATAATTACTAAACTGTAGTATGTGATAATAATTGGCATGAAGGGCGATCCTATGCATAATTACCAAAGCTAGCTACAAAAGGACTAATCGAATCTCAATGCCTCTTTGCTTCTGTGGTTGGCAAAGAACAGTATCAGCTAGAGGGACTCAGAGCAAGAAAGGAACTATGTACGAGGATTCATTCAACAAGTTTAGAACTTTAATGTAATATAAAATGGCCTCTTCGGTTCATCTTTCGTGGGATAAACGAGTTGAAAGCTTTCGATATCGCCTATAGATCGTTGGAGAAGCAAGCTTTCGTATTGGAAGGTAAGGTATTTTCATAATGATTAATATTTCCTTTCCTTTTTCGTTTGCTAGTTGTCTAATATTTCCTTTGTTAATTCTTAATGTCTTCAATCTTGATGCTGGACCACAAACTTTTCATTAAATTCTTTCTTGATTGGTTTACTCCATTCAATGATGTTACTAGTATATCAATATTAAAAGTTTGTCCCATTTGTGATTTCCCAATGCTTATTTTAATTTTAATTTTTTTTTGGCTCAATTTCTTTGTTTTACTTCTTATGGAACAGAAGAAAGAAGGGGTTCAATCGGGTCATGCAATTAGGTTGGGTGGTGAAAAAGGCCACCAGCCACCACCATATTCATGCAAGATGCCGCATGAGCTTGTTTGCGTAGTGACTGCTCGCCAATCGGATGATGCTGCGGGGCTAGCCACACCCCGACCGCATGGAAAGGAGATATCTCCTTATTATCATTCTTGATGTCATTGGGAGGCTGTAGTTTGTGCCGCATGGAAATAACACATTGTGTAACCAGCTAATAAAGAGGGAGTGTTTCGAAATTAAAATGCAAAAGTTGAATAGAAAATGCATATTATGCAAGCAATTTGCTTGGTTAGTTAGTCACGTTGGTTTTGTATTCGATATATAACATACTTTCTTGCGATTGGGGCCCAAAGAGCGACAAAAACTGGTCTTTCGATAAGCACCATCAAGCTTTCGAGGAAGCCAACTAGCTTCCTAGCAATACACAAATTAAATTACAGAATGATTTGTCCATATTTACTAATCTTTAATATGTGATATAATTCGTATGATGGATGGTCCTAGCAACTATTCAAGAGCTGGTATAAGTTACCGCCAAATTGTGTTATACCGAAGTAATTTGTTACCAATGGCGATCGAAATTGAACGGTCCAATCACGATGAAGCAACAAAAGAGTTGCCACGTTCTTAAATTCATAATTGCCGAAGTAGCTACAAAAGACTATATGGATCTCTAAGCCTCTTTGCTGGTATGGGAGGCAACCTCGATCCTTGGTGACAGGTTAAAGCAAAGAGTAGGATCAGGTTAAAGCAAAGAATAGGATCAGTCAAAGGGACTTATAGCGAGAAAAGGGAGTATGCATGAGAATTTATTCAACAAGAAGTTTAGCCTTCGATGTAGTATAAAATGGCCGCTCGGGTTCATCTTTTGTGGGATAAACGAGTTGACTGCTATCAATATCGTCTTTAGATCGTTGGAGAAGCAAGTTTTCGTTTTGGAAGGTAATGTATTTTTCAAAATGATTAATATTTACTTTCCTTTTTCCTTTGCTAATTGTCTAATATTTCCTTTGTTAATATTAATTGCTTCAATTTTGATGCTGGATCACAAACTTTTCATTATATTCTTTCTTGATTGGTTCACTTTATTCAAAGATTTTACTAGGACATCAATTATACAAGTTTTGTTTCCTAATGCATGAGGACTACCATTCTTTCTCTGGTTAGCTTAAAGTGTCCTTTCTTTTCACTCATTTTCGCCTCCGTACCCAACTGCTTGACCTACTATTTTAGTTTGCACTGCGTACGACATCGCCCAGGGGCGGCCATATATGCATTCTCCGGCCAAAAAGTCGACAAGAGGAAGAAGGGAAAAAAAACAAAGAGAAAGAAAAGAAAAAAAGAAATAATGAAATAAATAATTCAAAAAAATATTAAAAATTATTTACTACTGGGCTGATCGTGTCACGTAGGACGTCCGGCGTCTACGTTATTGATTTCTGGCCAAAATTGTCTTGATGGACTCAATTGACGAAACGTGAAAAAATGAAAAAATATAATTAGCATAATCTAAAAGTTTAGGATTGAATTGACAAAAGTGCAATAGATTTATAACTTTTTGGACAATTTTCCCATTTGTTATCTAAATCACCTTGATGTACTAGTCCGCAAGATTGCAGAGTTGTTGAGGCGAGAATGGGTGGTAAGGGGAAAATGGGTGCCGACTGATTAGCAAATGCAGCATTCGTTCAAGGACCAGAAATTTTATTTACTTAAGTTTACCTATGGGGCTTCAATTTTGGCTTTTAGGAGATAAAAGTGGGTGTTAGAAGGATGCACTTCATCTAAATGTAAATTTAAATAAAAAATCACAACAAAAAAGAACCCAATCGTTAAAGTCATTTGCTTATTTGAAGTGGAAGATCCCATCGATTACTCTTGATTTAAAGTAAATTTCCTCACTCTAATTCACTTTTTGATTTATTTTTTGGGGTTTTGGGTGTCATTCGAGTACGGGAAATACTTATGTGATTGAGCAATTAAGTACTTATAGTCTTTTGCTTGTTTAAAGTGGAACATACCATTGATCTCTCTTTGTAAAGTAAGTACATATGGCCGAACCACCATGCAAATTCATAGCGTCTTATTAATTTCTTGTACTTGAAATCTTGCAGCGAACCATTTTTATTTATTCATGCTTCCATGATCTTGCGCAATGATTTTAAATGCTTTCTGTCATAATGTCATATAATATTTTGTAGTTTTCTTACTAACTATTATAGATGTTTAAATAATTAAATCCAATATTTAAATGATATAACAGTTAGGAATCGCACACTAATTCTAGAAAAGTAACACAAACAAACAATCCACCCAGGCAAAATATAATAACAAAATAACACAATCGAAAGAACACATCAGAAAATTTGTTAAAATTTATTATCGAAGCTCACCCAACTTTGAGCTACGTCTCCGTGCAGAGGTACTCTACGAATCCACTAAATTTCGAAGAAAGCAGGAATACTATGGTAATCTTCTCTCAAGATTATGGCACAGAGAGATTGAGAACACTCATGAAGAAAAGCTCATTTTTTCTTCTCTTTTTCTTTTCTCTCTATTTTCTTCTTAGCCTCTTGATGACTACTATCTATCTATAGCTGATATATGAGGTATAGCTTTTAACCTAAAAGCAAATTAAGAGAAAAGAAAAAAAAAGCTCTTAATAATAAAATTTGGCTTCATACGCCAACAATAATGTCTCTTTACCCTATCGTTGCTCCGTTGCAATAACTGCATTATTTGCATTGCCTAGGCTCGATGGACGTACAGATACCTATGAATATGGACGAGGAAGATATCCGGAGGAGTCAACAGGCGAGAATAAAAAGTGCATTGGTAGTTGCGAGAATTGCAGCGCGACAAGAGCCAAAAGATTTGTATGCAGATGCCAGGGGACTGGTGGATGTCATCAAAGCCGCCGATGTCGAAAAGTTCATTTCCATGATCGAAAGGCATGCCGTTCAAACTGATCCGTCTGCCATTTTCAATTTCCAGGGGCTATCGAAGGGTTCACTGCTCCACATTGCAGCCGGGACAGGCAAGGACGACATTCTAAGGCTCCTGATTGATTGTGTTGGTTACGACCTCATAGCCGCCCCAAATGATTGGGGAGATACGCCCCTCCACATGGCCGCTAAGGCTGGGGGATCCGGAGCCGCCTTGATGTTGATTCGCCGGGAAAGAGATCTCCCCAGCATCAAGGACAACAAAATGATCCTGAGGATGAAGAACAAACATGGAAACACTGCTTTACACGAGGCCGTGCTTCATTGTCATGCCGACGTGGTGTGCCACTTGTTGAGGGAAGATCTTGAGCCCGTGTACTGGGAGAACATGGAGCAGAAATCTCCCCTCTACCTGGCCCTCGACACCAACGACTCCCAGATACATGAGGCTTTATTTTTGGCCTCGATCGAACCATCGAGGATACAAGGCTTGCCACCAGTTCATGGTGCCGTTCTGCGCGGTAAAGATGGTGAGTACCTAAATCTGCTTATGAGATATATCAATCTATGTGTAGACCAAACTCGTCTCAAATCTGTGTAACAACTTTTGCATTTGCCCAAACCCCTTATGGGTTTTTTTTACATAAAATTCCATACCCTGCTTATTGTAGTATCTAGATACCCATCGCGTACTTGCAACCAGTCATATAATCCTTTTAGTAAACAAATTATCTCACATTAGAACATAGTAGATCACCTGAAATTTACAAACACAAGCATTTTACTGAAAACTCATGTGTTGATGAACTTCGATAAGAAAAACTATAAAGTGCAAATATCTAAGTTCGACAATCATAAAAATCTAGAATCTATCAATGACAAAAGGAGAAAGATAAATGATGATGGTTGATGATGATGTTAGATTACAATTAATCTTCTTGAAGGTCACAAAATTGTATTTTTAGTTTGGTAAATGATTTATCATATTTTTATTTCGGATTTACTTGTAATACAAAATCATCTCACACCTAGTAGAGTTAGAATATGCATACTTACTAATGAAATAACCTAAGAAAAATCAAGAAATGAGAGCATTTAGTAAGTAATAGACATTAGGTTCAGATACCTGATATCACAATTATAAAACCTCAAACACATCCCAAACTCTATTGGATTTTTAGCATTTGAGCTAAAAGAAAGGAAATAAAAAATATTTACTGACTTGGAAAAATGATGTCACAGGAACATCATTATCTTGGCTTGGTAAATGTTGATGTAGCAATTCACGTTAAAAAAATGCACGTAACGTGGCAATACACTTAATGGAAGGATTACATTGAGTGAATTTTTGAAAATTTAAGAATTGGATTGAATAAAATGAAATTCATGGACCATGTTGAATATTGAAGAAAAGTTGAGGGACCACTAATGTCAATTTTCCTTATTTATTGAATGAGAGTTGTGCATATTGTGTGGGGTCATACATATTTTTCGAGTTATCAATTAATCCATAAGTGAACATATGCACACATACATGATTTCACCACAAAAAATAATTATACATTTTTAGATTATTCGAATTGGTATACTATTTAGTGTTTCTTTAGCTATAGTCGATAACATCCACCAAGTAATGCAAGTTGAAACTAATTTTTTGGTCTCTTTATATCTACGCATGTTTTTTTACATGATCGAATCGCATTATCGTGTTGGACATGTATTAGAAATCCCAAAAAAAAATGTAGAAGTGTTGGGAGCATGCAGAAAAAGCCCGGTACCTTCACTCGGGGAGATCACCAAAAGGGAGTCCAAGTCCGAGTATATCAACATATCTCTTTGGATATACATTTGCTCAAAAGCTCAAACCAATAAGTTATGGGCCAACTAGGATAATATTAACTGCTCTACACCATATTAATTCTCCGATGTAGGATTTCTTTAACACAACTTATCCACACGTGCATCTTAACAATCTCCCCCACACGTTGGAGCTCAATGTTAGGTCTGCTCCCCCTTAATGTAGATATCCTTTCGCATCAACTTATCTCAAGTTGATTATCTATCAATGCTCTTTCTCCATATCGAACCATAAAGTCTGCCATCGTGCCTGCGTTACTATACCACAACACCCATCGCTTGATCTACTATCAGCTTTGATATCATTTGTTGGGAGCGTATAGAAGAAACCCGATACCTTCCTCTAGGGAGATCACCAAGAGAGAGTCTAAGTTTGAGCCCGTCAACATATCCAATTGAACTCATATTCATTCAAAAGTTTAAACCAATGATTTATGGCCAACTAGGATATATTAATTACCATAACAATTCTTAGATGCAGGATTTTTTTAACACAATTCACTCGCACATGCATCCTAACAGAAGGTCCTCATACATACTAAATCCCCTCATAAAATTCCAATAATTCAAAGTAAATGAAACTTAAATGGTAATTTATGGAATTTCTGCAGATTATTTCTATGGAATTTGTGTGTACCGTCACATAACCGTATGTATGCAAATGAGGAAATAATATGTATATTTGATTTTGAGAATGAAATTGTCACATATCATACAAAACATAAAAGATCAAGAGTGAGAAAGTACAAAGGGAATTGTAAGGTATGGGATTCATGAACTAAGCAGATGTTGAAATTTGACATAATATTATATTCTTGTTTAAGAAAAATTCATCGATCTACGCATTTGTCCACACCAATCTGCTAAAAATATAAATTTTCGATAGCATTTTGGGAAGAAAGAAGGAAGAGATCCTTTAAAAATAATAGAGCATCTATTTGCGTCATATTATAAAAAATATTAGTCATAATTTAAATGTCTATACAATAGGAACATTCAAATAAGCAAGATATAATTTGATAGATATAATAAAGTGATGACCATGCTACTCATGAGTGTTTGCTGTCTGGTTGATTAATATGAAATCATTGGGCATACAAAGCTTTTATGCGTTTTATATTATTTTACCATATTATATTACCTCGATAAAAACTAAATGTGCAAAATTTTATATCCGTAAAAGGCGCGGGTCTCCAACTTAATGTTATATATGTGACGATTGTACATCAATGTACTGAGGGTGCCACGTATTTTAAGTTGGGTCAATCGTGTCCCACTCAACTTCAAAATCTTTTTATTTATATTCAGAAATTTTTTGAATAAACGTAATAGTTGACACCATTTTTTTTTTTTGAGTTCTGATACCACTAAATTTCTTAAAGAACAATTGGATCCCAATAGAACTCAAAAAATCCAAGTCGAAATAAAATACGCATTAATAATAAATTCACTTAACTATTTAAATGCTTAAACACAAACAAGAATGATTAGAAATTAAGTTTTTTAGTCCTTAAACTTTCATTTTATGTGATTATAGTCTATAGCTTTCATTTAAAACCTGCTCATAATCCCAATATGAAATATATTTTTGTAACTTTTAGATTATTCATTTCGCCTTATGAATATATTGAGATGAGAAATTGCATGCAATATTTGTGACCTAAATTTTGTGTAACCATAGTTTCCTAACACTAATTTGCGTGTGATTTGAATTAATATTTTTGCACGTGTCCTGATTTCAAGGATATGGTTCGGCTAGTTAGGGAATCATTTAGCCTAAGAAATCATTTTGGGACTAAGTCGGCCAACAGCAAGAAACATGCCATGTTTGAAGCAAATGCGAGTCATGAACCAAAATGAACATATGAAAGTTGATGGCTTGAATTCTAAACTAGTAGCATACATGTAAGAACGTGAATTTTTTTCGCTTTTGTAAAATTGAAATATGTATTTTATTATAAATGATTTGTTAAATTGTATTTTATTTTATATAAATCTTCCTCTTTTGAACAAAATAAATTCGACATTTTACATATCAATGTAAAATATATGGACTCGATAACAACTAGGAAATTCCTAATTATTGTTGTTATATGACACAAGAAAATAATATGTGTAATTATTATATACAAAAATTTGAATTTTCAATAATTGCTAATTTGCAATAGTAAACTCCTTAGAACTAACGTCATTAAAAGTGATGTTTTTTTATTTTTATTTTTGTTGAACAGGACTCGTGATATTGAATGAATCAAGCATAAATCCTAGTTTGAAGCAAAATGCGTGGAGTGCAAGAAAAACACTCTTTATAAGAAAACTAATCAATCATCTATCTGCAAATTATAGTCCTATATGTCACTAGTGGTAAAATTAGACTTGTTCTGTTTTTTAAGTCATTTGAGTAAAAACATATCTCCCAAAATCACTATAGATTCACAATATATACCTTGTCCATTATCTATTGTGCGTGTGTGGAGAGAGATAGCTTTCAAATATACTAGCTAGCGGGTATTAATGGGTTTAATGCATGGGAATAATTTTAGAAATATGAAAGTGAGAGAAGCCACTTTCCCATAATACAAATAGTCTGACCTGTCTGTGTACGTACGAGTATAAATGAAAGAGTGATGCTATATGTATTAAAGTTTTGTTAAAAAAAGCCTTACTAAATGATATGGCCTATGTCACGTCGTTACTATTTACGTAGATTAAGTAAGAATAATGCAATGAAAATTAAAACGAAAAAAGCCCTAAATTGAACGAGATCGAGGCTTTCCTATTCTATTATTTGTTCTTTGTTGAGTAGCACAATCCCTAACGCTTTCCTCTCACATATTATTCGATCTTCTTTACTAGCACCTCTAAATTTTTACATATGGGGCCAAAACTTCTTCTTTTGGTTGAGCTTTTTCCTTTCGGTGTAATTTATAAGCTGTACTTTTTTTCAATCTTGGATTCTGGTCACATATTTTACTTATGCGGATGTGGTCCCTAATTTAGAGCTCCTGATCCCAGCTTTACTAAAGAAGATACTCGGCCAAAACATGCAGCTATTTGCAATGACCGACTCCAAAGGTGGTAATGTATTCCACTTAGCAGCTTACATGAATCAGACCAAAGTATTCGAATTCTTGGGACCGCAAACTGAATATTTGGCCCGAGAAACGGACATGAGTGGGGATCTTCCCATTCATATTGCGGCCAAGATGGGTTATGTTGATCTAATCCATAAGCTACATCCGGTATCAAATTTGCTAAATGGGCAAGGACAAACCGTTCTTCATGTCGCAGTAAAATATGGGAGAACTTCAGCAGTGAGATATATACTCAGTCATTTAGAACTAGGGAAGCTGATAAATGAAAGAGATCATGCCGGAAATACACCTTTGCACTTGGCCGCCATGCATTCACAACCCGCCGCTTTGATTCCTCTTGTGCTGGATCAAAGAATTAACCCCTTCCTTCAGAACCGCAAATGCTTGGCTGCTCATAACATTGCTCTATATCGCTTCAAAAAGGAGCCTACGTTACGGAAGGTATGTAACATGAACAGTCACCATCCTTTTTTTATCAACTTACTGGAAATTTCTTAGATTAATACCTTAGTTAAGCGTAAATCTTGTATTCAAATCATTATGTCTTCCAGTCGATAGCATTGTTGAAGCATTGATCAATTTTCTAGAATAGCCGGGACTCCTCCAGGATTAATGTCCTGCAAATCTCTAATTTATTCTTAACAGGAGGTAGTTAAAGCTTGTGGCCATGAATATGTCCGCGGGCAGAAATAAGTTAAATATCTCCGACAAATGCATAGATAAATTGTTCTAATTCGTGATTAATTGTCAGTGCTGCATTCTCTTTCTTTTTTTTCAAAAAGCCAGGGGTCAATGTGGCAAATTTTGACCACTCTACAATGGCATAATCTCATAACATTATGATGAAGTCAACCTATGACAACGACAAACTGTTGTTATTATGGATTAATAGATCATCGAAAGTGAACAAAACGAGATATGTTTCTTCAGTTCATGTATCTCTTAAGTTCATGAATCTTTTCAGTTCATAAATCTCTTTAATTCGTGTATTTCTTCAATTTATATCTCTCTTGAATTCATGTATCTCTTTAGTACATGATTTCTCAAACTCTATAAATTGATTTGAACTGTTCTTCATTTCAAAAAAAAAGAAGAAGAAAAACAACGCATTACTTCACTTCAATTTTCTCTAAGTGTGCTAGTTTCGAGAAGTGTTTGAATGGGTTTTGCTTGCATAGTGCTAATACAAATGGATTCGGGTTGTTGTATCTTAGGAGGCATAGTTTGTAAATTTGTATAGAACCATTGACAATAACTAATCACCTTAAGGAGATTCAGTCATCCGTATCTCACCTCATGTTTAATTATGTTACAATTTTATAGCAATTTTCCTAGTTCAAAATTTGTTTTGTAATTGTGTCCTCATTACTTGTTAAGAGTAGATATTCAATATATTTACTCATTGAATTGGTCATTATTCAAGTTGTTATCGCTTTCTCAAAGTTATTATTTCTTTTTAATTTTTCTGATTACAACAAACAATATTGTGTTACCAATAATTTACTACACAAACAATATACATTTCATTCATGCCTCTTTTTCATCTCAAATGTACTTGTACTCTAGCGTTAATTCTTTAAAAAGAGCTTACACTGCATCTTTAGAAGTAAAAGTTTCCCTTTAAATGAGTACACCGGTGTTCTTTCCCGTTATCGATATGGTAACAATTTGTTCTTTTTCTCCTTCTTATATGCTCTGGATCTCAGCAATTGACATTAATGGTAGCAAACTCCACAATTGGGAAAAGTCCAAATGAAAGGAGAGACTTATTCGTACTAAGGCCGGAAGCTCGAGATGAAGAGTTTTCAATATACTCCTTGAACAAAAGCAAGCAAAACAAGGACCAGGTGAAGGATTTGATTAATACCCGTCTGCTGCTGGCAACACTTGTGGCCACTGTGACTTTCGCAGCTGGTTTTGCAGTACCTGGAGGATTTAACGGCTCGGACATGGCATCTGAAGATGACCGGGGCATGGCTACAATGCTGGACAAGAGACTGTTCCAGGCCTTCACAATTTGCAACACCATCGCGATGTTCTGCTCAATGACCGCGGTCATCAACCTCATCTATGCACAGCAAAAGGACGTCCAAGCTGCAATAGCTGCAAACCGGCACTCAGTGCTACCGCTAACAATTGCACTTCCGGCAATGTCCGTCGCTTTCTTAACTGGTGTCACCTTGACCGTTGGCAAACTCCCTTGGCTTGCCTACTCCATATTTTATTTGGGACTCGTTTTCCTCTTAATTATCTCAGGTGCTACATTGATAGAGTACCCTCCCTTACTTAAGAGGTATTGTCATCCTATTCGTCGTCCGGTATTCTGGCTCGTTCTCGCTTACATTTATTTGTGGGGAGTTGAGACGTACCTCTTAGATGACTTGGAAGATGATGGAACAACGAGCGGGACCTCAGCTAGTCGGCCTTCAAATGGTGTCGGTGATCGAATGACTGACGACTCGGTGACAGCAAAATGTGGGGACACACCACATCCTCCTAGTCACTAATTTCAGTTGATCATTCAATATTATCTATGATTTGAATAAATAAACATTAATTTGCCTTGGTGTTTTCGTTCATTCTATAGTTGCTTTCGTGTTGCGTTATTTTAATGCTGATTGTCAAAGTATTTAAATAAAATATTGTCTTCTTCAAATAGCTTAAACTTTTAATACTTGGATGTAGTCCCACCAAATTTCACATGATATCATAGCAGTAAATTCTAATTCTAAGTTCAAACCTTTCGAAGCCCTATCTGCCTCCTCGGTTATATATTCTCCTATTTTAGTTTTAGAGCAAAGTTCACTCAACGCTTGAAAAGGAGTATTAAAGTACTTGAGTTAAATTACTCCTTCGTCTAATAGTTTAAGTTGTTAGACATTCCATGAAATTTCACAGTGATACATGCGTTCTGTGATATGCTATGTCAACTAAATGGATGAGTGGCTCATTTCATCTGTTTGCCCATTCTGGAATCAAACCAATTGAGCATGTAGAAGCTCGTGGTTTTATGAAATCGCGAGTCTAGAGCGGCCATGGACAATTTACCTATCCAATTTGTGACACTCTCGAGTCACAGCATTCTAGGCACTCACTCACATGTCCCGTATGTAAAATGATTGTCATCCACTATTTCTCTAAGTCGAGCTTTTGGCAAAGAAAACCACATCTTTTTTTAAAAAAATTTTTCTCATCAATCCTCACAGAAATTCAATGTTTTTAGCCCACTGCTTACACCCCTTTCATTTACCCACTTCTCTCCTTCCAAAACAAACCATAAGGAACTTCTGCATGGCGGAACTTGAATGAACTTGACGAGTGTTTGAAAACCAAGCCTTTTGTGCATGTATACAAACAATGAATCGACTTCTTAATCAGGCTTAGATCGATGTGAGGATTCTGCTTGCAATCTATCGAAACACTAAATCGAACGGCATAAACATGCTTTTCACTTAAGTTACTATTTTGTGATTAGAGTGGCCATGTTGTGTGTTCCATAGAATTATCATGGGCAATTGGCACTCAATTTCTATGCATCCAAATGAGTTGGGTGTTTGATCCCTGTTTAGGTATAATCTAGTGACCAGTGAACACAGAAATCTAATTAGAGGTCGAGATAAAAAGGAATTGCAATACCTAACTCAGGGAAGCGGGAAATTGTGGAAAAGCAACAAGATATGTAATTTTCCTCCTCTAACCTCTGCTTTAATTTTAATGTTGGCTGGTATCGACGTGGAGAATGGAACTTTCGTCTGATTTAATCGACAATAATCGTAGTGAAATATCGGTATATGTCACGTGCAATAAATGTCCGATTTACATTCCTTCCTTCGTCCTTAAGATAGCAATATCATTGACCTACAATGGCATTGCCTACTCGTCATTGTTTAAGAACGAGGAACGTGTCTGGGCTCCGTTCCACGGATGCAAATCAGTTATCCCTATAGTGGATCCGTCTGTTTTCTCTATTTTTAGATCGCGACACATGTCATTTAATTCCAGTCCTCACTGCACTTGATCCACCATACCACCCACCCTAGCAGAGCACCAAGCCCTCTTTTTTTTTTTCCTCTCTTCCTCCTCCACATCCACAGCCACCTCTAAGCTGACCACACGCGCCTGCTCCGGTCATAGGCATCGGAAGAGTTGCTAACGCCGTGTCCAGGCCGACCACTGCTGTGCATCCAAGACATGCCATCCGAGACGTGCCACTGTCCGCCGTCTTCCCTGCAGTATGCTGTGTCTTTTCACGCATGCAAGCCTATTAATCTAAAGGCACACCTCCAAATCTAGACCAGCGACATTGCAGGTCGAGGTAGAGCTCAACCCCGCATCGAGTTCCGCCACATGCAACGAGCTTGACGGCGATGTCATGCTCAAACAAAGACAACAAAGGGTTTTACAAAGAGAGATGGATGGATATAGAGAGACGGGGGTTGTGGGGACAAAGGTGGAGGGAGGGAACTCATCGCTGGGCACGACCGCGTTCGCAAGGCGACGGATCTCGATGGTGGCAGCTAAGATAGAGGCTCAGCACCTTGGGCGATGGAGATGAACGAGCTGGATTCTGGGGAGAGGGTTGAAGAGTGAGAAAGAGAGAGGAGGAGGGATTAGCTTTGGGGTTTTGTCCTTGTTCTAGTGTGGGTCAGACAAATGAGGGGCTACGAGACATCATCGCATGCTTGGAGACAGCAACTCTGCGGCCCCGTTCCACCTATTCTTAGTTACGGGTAGAAATGTAATTTAGATGCAAAATAGTAGCATTGTGGTCATTGCGACAGTATTCTCATACTCGATGAGCTAACTGAAAGAAAGTTAAACAACAGTACCCACCCTTCCTACTTGGGAAAGAGGAGGTAGGGAATTCGAATCCCCACCTTCTCATGGAGGGTTAGGGGTGGGGATGTGTAGTTTGAAATGTGGATTTCGACTCTCACGTCCTGTATGAGACATGGTAAAAGTCTGAAAGTGAGTTGAGAGTTAGAATAAAATAAAATAAAAAACTGAAAGAAAGTTGACTTTATAATCTTTCAATTTATTGACGCGGAATATTAAGAGAAAAGCCCTTAGCACCCACCAGAGATGAAGATTAGGTTGTGCGCATGTAGATGCAACATGAGATAGTTATATATATACATACGATCGTAAATACATTTAGTATGTTTATCTTGAAGTTGACTGTATCAAAGCACAAATCTGCGCGGTCATCGGCTTATAGCGAGCGGCGGGCCCAAGGGCTAAAAGAGCCCGCAAAAAGCCCATGGGATTTTCCCCTCGGTGCTTCAGTGAATGATTTACTCATGAAAAAAATAAATGAGAGCACACAATTTAGGGTTTCATACGGAAGATGAAACATAATACAATCGGCTATTTGTATAGAAATACCATGGAATTTGATTAATATAGATCTCATTGCCAAAGCCCTATATGCTATTGGAAATGTGAGTACCTATGTAGGCACATTTCACCGGCCAATATTGTCCATTGGTAATATTTTTCTCCAACAAAGATTCTGATCCATAGGCCACAAGTTATAAATATCATCAACATGCAAATTTTAACTAAAATTAAATCTTAATGATGTTCATGGTTGTGTGACCCATCAATCAAAGATATGATTGAAGAGAGTTCCATCCAACTAAGGTCGTAGAAAAATATGATCCTTTGACTATATTAGGTTTCTTTGCTTCTATTGCGAAAAAAGCAGAGGTGGCGCCCGCATATGTTTTGTGGGGGTGCCCCAAATGACCATACAATTTTTAAATTATGCCAATTTGACTCGATTGTTTTACATTTTTTGACCCCAAATATTATTTGAGCCTACTAGAATTAATATGCCCGAGTTACAGAGCAAAAGGATTTCACTTATAGACAAACTCTATCCGTAAACTTCTACATAATATTACTACCGTCGCTAACATGCATTTGCATTGCCAAATTGGACAATGTTTTTGGATGACTTTTGGACTATCTATCCCGATTACATAATTACATCGTGTGATTCGGTTTGATCATGTGCAACAGCTGTGCCTAGAACTACGTTGCAATTTTAGTCTTCACATATTTATTTGAATCAAAGTTACCACCATTGCACATGATTTAAACTCTAGCAATATTCTTACGTGACATTTTGGCTACGTTGTAAATTAACTCGATTACATGTAAAAAGTTATCGGTATTTCACGAAACAGGAATCGTGGACCGAAACCACATAACTATGGATTGGATGTACAAAATCTAAATTTCAAGAGATGGATAGCATAACTGCCGTAAAATATCAAACTTTAGGGTCATCGCATACACTGATTAAAATGTCTGGCCTAGAAGCAATTAATAGAGTAGAGATCCTATCATGCTTTTAGAGAGTTTAGAGTCAACTTATTCCCCGTTTTCATCCTTGTCCTCTTCAGTAGAAGTTATCATTGGTGTAGGAACATACTTCGCCCTTACAAAACCAAACTTCTTGAGCATTCCTTCGTAATCAATACCTTCCCCTTATGAATAGCCTTGAGCCGCTAACCTCACTTTGTTTCGAATCACATTAACATCTTGGTCGAGTTTGTTTCAAAAAGCCCACTTTCTTACAAATTATCTATATATCTTCAGGTATTGGAACCAAAGTCCACATTTGGCTTCTCTCAAAATTGATTGAGTTCTTCTTGCAAACCATAGATCCAATCATCATCATCTAAATCTTCCTTGATTGTTTTTTGGGCTCTATCTGAGACACAAATGCATATTTGCGACTTGATCAATGCGAGGAACAAAGGCAACATGTCTATATTTATTTCTGAACGAGGAAGTGTTCCCAACTTTAGTCCAATCCCACTAAGTAAGAGTTCCTTAGGTTGATTAGAATGAAAACCATTTATTTTCTAGGACGTTATTCTGACAACAGTAGCTGTAGAAGCAATTGTTGTAGAACTAGTAGGATAGCCTGCTTCTGTAGAGTCTGCTTCTACATAGTCCGCATTTCCAAAACAGTTTCTCCAGATTCTGCTTCTTCAGAAGTTGCTTCTACAACGACATGATCTTCAGCAGGGATTAGATTTCTTGAGGTATCATCGAAGGCGACAAGAATATACTCTTCAAGCGTTTTGGTTCTTTCATTATATACACTATATTCTTCGCATAAAAGAGTAGAGTCAAACCTTCCCTCGTGATCACTAGCACTCTATAAGGACATAGCAAGCACAACCAAGTACATAATTGTAAGAAACATTGCGCTTCCTCCCTTTGGTCTCAAGTGTTCTTATTGAGGTGTCGACATCCTCGGCCCCATAATGCTTAGGGATTTTGCTTTCCACCAACAAGATACCGGCCATCTCTTGCAAGGTCCTATTTTCACTCTCAACAACACCATTTTGTTGTGGTGTATAAATGTGTAAGGAATGGAAAAAATCGTACGAAATGCCCTACTCATCTCAAAATGATTCAAAGTCACGATTACTTCTAATGCATGAAATCTTAAGCCCATTCTCCTTTTGGACTTTCTTAGCAAGTATAG